GGAGGGGACATCCGAAGTGGGTTTGGAGAGTTTCAGAAAGGGCCGAAGGAAGCTGGGTTCCTCGTGAACAGAAGTCGCGTGCTCGGGCTGGGCGGGTGGCTGGGCGGGTGACTGGGCTCCCGTGGCTGGGCGGGTGGCTGGGCTCCCGTGGCTGGGCTCCCGTGGCAGGTGGGGGCTGCTGAGGCGGGGCCAGCTCCGGCTGGACCACCTGGCCCTTCGTGACCGCACCAGCGACGCCCGGCCCTGGGCCCTCCCCAGGGGCCTGCTGGAGGGTCTCACCGGTAGCGGATGAGCTGGTTGGGGGACGCCCCCCCCCCCAAGGGCCGTGGCACGTGCGCTGTGTGTGAAGGTGCACGTCTCCGCGTCTCACACACACCTGGGTGCGAGCGTGCCTCTGTAGGCCGCGGGCATGTGATGTATGTTCCCGATGGGTGTGAGCGCGTCTCGTGTGTGGTGTATAGACATGTGGCCTGTCTCTTTCCCAGAGCGCACGCTTCTGTGTGTGTGTCCGACCCGCCTGTGTCCGTGTCTGTGCGTCTCCCTTGAGTTGCTGTGCGAGTCCGTATTCCCGTGTGCACATGTCCCTGTGTGCTTGTCTGGGTCTGTGCTGCTCACAGGGCTGTGTGCCGTGTGTGTGCCCTGTGTCCGTGTCCGCGTGTGCGTAGGCTTGGTCATGGTGCCGGTGGGCCTAGAGGGTGCTGTGTGCGCGTTTGCCTGTCTGCATGCAGTGCCCTGCAAGGAAGTGTGCCCTGAGAATGCTCTCCCACACCACACCGACTGCCAGGAACCCGGTGGGGGCTGCATCCAAGGCAAGTCTTGCAGCCCCCTCCTGCAGGTCCTCCACCCTGCACTTCCAGGTGCCCAGACCCTGGCTGCTGGGCTTCCCCTCCATGCCCAGCTCCATCCCACCTGCCTGGCTCCACACCAGTCAAGCCAGCTGCTGGCCAGCCAGCTGTTCCCTGGCTCAGAGGGATTCTCAGCTCTTGACTTGGCCAGGAAAGAACTCAAAGCCTCCTCCAGGCCAAGCAACGCGAAGTTTATTTAGCAACAGAGCACTCTGGAAGAGGCAGAGCGGAGGGACATTCCTGGCTTCCACGGGGTGCTGGGCTGCCGCTCCGCCTTTTCTGGGCCTTACCTCGCAGGTGCACCTGGGGTGTGGTTTATCAGTCCCAGCAAGATGTGGGGGCTTGGGGTCTGCCTCCCCTCCCCCACTGGCCTCTTGGCTCCCCTGGGCTCTCCTGTAGACCGGCGTGGGGGTCCTCTGGGGTTACCACACACACACACACTCTCGGGGTGCTACCTATCAGCCTGAGGAAGGGCTTTCTCCCCTCTGTCAAGCAGGTGCATTCTGGTGCTTGCTTATACATCCGGGGCAGGTGGCATGGCCATCGCCTTTGCAGGAGCTCCCAGGTGTCAGTTTTACCACACCTGCATGTTCTCGGCATCCTGGGGGTCGGCTGTTAGTCATCTTTAGCTACTGCCACCTCGCCCTAGGGGGATCTAGGTCCACCCTCCACGGGCCAGGTTCCATCCTGCTCCTCCTGGACAGAGGGCTTCTCAGGAAACGAGTGACATTTCCTTCATCCTTGCTTCTTCCTCCTGGGGCGTGGCATGACTAACAAGCTTGGCGTGAGTGGGAGATCCAACTGCAAGCCCTATCTGAGGGGTCCTCTGAGGGGTCTGCCGCCTCCAGGTCATCCTGCGGGGCTGCCCACCCCTCAGCCCTGTCCAAACCAGGCGGAGGACACTGCCCAAGCACAGCACCCAGCCCCCAGGAAGTGAGGCCAGAGGGCGCCCCTCCCTGGAATTTTGTACGTAGTAGTTGGGAGGAAAATGACTCTACCCTGTGGGGTCCTCGAGGGGCGGCCCAGCTGGGAGTCCCGACAATGTGCGGGGGGCTGGGACTTTGCGGGCAGGGCCAGCAAAGGTGGAGTACCCCGGGCTGTGTGAGCCCCCAGCGCTCCTGGGAGGAGCAGGCCCACGCAGCCCCCAGGGGAGCCTGGCCGACTGACAGTGAAAGCTGGCCAGGACCTGGCCCTGCCCTTCCCCCCCTACCCGCCCCCCCCACTCGCCCCACCTCCTGGAGCTGACTATTCAACTGTCATCCGTGCCCCAGTCTGAACTGGACGCAGGCACAGATCAAATGAATCCATGATGACAAGCGGCTCTTCTCACCGGAGAGTCCACTGGCAAGCCCACGTGGCCCTGGCCGGCTCTCCCTCTACCCTTCCTCCAACCCACGGGCTCCCGGCCCGCCGCGCCGGGTCACATAGTGACACTGTTCACAGTGGCCGCGGCCAGCTCAGGGAGGTGCTGGTGGGAGTGTGACCCAGGCACCTCACCCGAGCTGGCAGCACCCTGGTGAGAGCGGGAGCTACGGGGCCCCGAGCCAGACCCTGCCAGGGCACGTGGTACCCACCCCTCCCCAGGCACCCAAGACCCCACAACTTCCAGGTGAGAGGTCAGTGTGCTGTCCACAGCCGGGCAGGCAGCGCCCGCCCTCCGGCCACCAGGCTGGCAGGACGAAGGGGGACCCAGAAGCCTGGTCAGTGGGGTGGGCCAGGTGGCCAGGACCAACCTGGAAGACGTGACCAGGACTGTAGGTAGACTTTGGTGGCAGGCAGCCACATCTTCCTCCGGTCATGGTTCTTCAAAAGTGCCACCACAGAGGGCAAGGCCCTGGCTTTCACCTATGAAATACTGCCTGGGAGGGCCTTCCAGCCCTGATACAAGCTTGTACTACCCAGCAGATTCTACTACATTTTGGGTTTCTCCTCCCCTTCCAAAGGTCTTTGAGCCGCAAGGAAAGGGTGAGACTCCAGGGTGGGCTGGGGCCCGGTTGGGCTATAACCCTCCTAAGGCCCTCACCACCGCCACTCACTATACCTGAGGGCCTCTCAGGAGAATGGCTCAGGGCTTGCCTCTGGCTCCAGGCAGCCCTCCTGGGTTTGTCCTCCTACTGTGAGGCCTGGGCCACAAGGCTTTCCCTCATGGCATGTCCACTTCTTTTTTCT